GTTGAAAGTTTTTTTATGTAGTCAGAACCCATTTCTCTTTTCACTCCATCCCAGCAGTTTTCTTTTCGATTTTCGACTTCCAATTTTCGTTTCTCCATTTCCACATTGCATCTTGCAAAATAGTCTTGGAACGGATAGGAAAGAAGGAATAGAGAAAATTGCGGAGTGAGATTTGACCTTGTAGGTAAAATTCGTTCGTAGCTCTCGACAGATGGACCAGTTTATTTCGTGAATTTTCTCCGTATTTTGATCGTTTTCCGATTTCCGGATGACCGCATGTTTGTTTGTAGTTCCTTCGACCTTGTTATGAGATAGCTTCGAGCTAATGTTTGATGACTCTTTTGAACGAAGCGCCACCATCTGCGAACGTTTCACGCAACTATCGCTCCACTTTGACCGCTATTGGGACTGACCTCAGAATACACTAGTCTAATCATGCTGCAAAAGGGACGTTCAGAGTTGGTCATTCCCAGGAATAGGCCGCGTCTTCGAAATGCTCTTGAATTCGTGGTGGGGTACGGGTGTGCCTTTTCCGTCGCCATAACTAATTAACCAAGCTGTACATAGTCTGGATTTTAACCATGAAAATGGCCAAACAAAGGAAGATGGGTTTGGCCCGAGAGTTCAATTGGAATTCAAGAATTGTTGCCTGAATCAGGGATGTAACTGTAGCTACGCCGTTTCCATCACAGCATCTTTGCTTGCTTTGAACTATTCATGTAGACATAAAATCATGTAAACAATTTTTATAGGACCAGACCGAATCCACTCTTTTGCCTTCAAATTTCGTCAAGAAAAGCTAGAGCGAAACTGCTCCTGGAGAGCGTTCGTGTTGGTTGTTTTTGTTATTGATTCCATTGTTGTGTGGGCACGAGATTATTGTTCCTGAAAGGAATGTGCAACGTTGCGTGCTATCTGAACCGTGAAAGATGTGAACGAGCGTAATTCACCGATGAAATAATGGGTTCTACTCCGAAAAATGAGTACTGTTGGCAAAATCGGCAGGTTTCCCAATTCAGGCGGTGTTGATGACACGAAAGCTCATCACCTCATCACACAGAATAATAACTGGCTTGAGATATGAGGCAGAGAGGCATGGGACAGGAAAGAGAGGGAAGGATCGGGGGCGTTGCGAGTCGCAAACGATCCTGTGTGGAAGCATTCAAGGTAGCTTTTCTGTGGTAGGAAGGTGAGCAATTAATTATGCTCCAGTTCAGAATACGAAAACGTGGGGCGCTCTAGGGCTGTTTTTTTCGGTGCGCGCCATGCTTTCGGTTTCTATTTAGAAACATACACTGTTTACATGTATATTAGGCTTGCGAAATGTCCTGGAAAAGCTATGAGTTCTATAAGTCCGTCAGCTGTCTACTCAAAACTGCCGCAACTTGCCGTAGAATTGGATATTCCGATCAGTAAGGCAACTACATTGGGGCTACCACGCCTCTTGCTACTGACAAAGCACTGAATATGAATAGTATTGGAGCGTTATTCCTTTGTCATATAGAATTCCATCCGTTTGGAGTATTTAGCATACCACTTATGTGTTGACTGCCACCTGAGAAACCAATTCTGAGAACAACTCTCTCCAAAACTGAATCCAAAGTCAACCACCACATTCTTCTGAATTCGAGCCACACAAGTTTTCTTTTTCAAAGGATTCTTCGCAATTGAAGGACGGCTTGTCGTGTTCCAATAGTGCCTGGCGAACTGTCCCGGACCAACAGGTGAGCGGTCACTTTATGGCTCTCCGAGATGGCAAGCAAACAGCTGGCGGTTGCGGATCCTATCGTCGCCGCCCTTCTTCTGGACAGTAGGGCTGTCACTCGAGCACAAACTTCCCTGCAGGCACTTTCCCCTTCAACTTTCACCAGCAGACACTTTTGCCGTCAAATTCGGCCAAATTTGTGAGGGGAAGAGGGAGCTCTTACAACTCTCGCTAGTGCCCCGTTCAAACAACTCAGTAATCTAGAGAGCACAGGTGACAGGTGGCTCAAGGTCGGTAAGCAAACAGNCCTGCAGGCACTTTCCCCTTCAACTTTCACCAGCAGACACTTTTGCCGTCAAATTGGGCCAAATTTGTGAGGGGAAGAGAGAGCGCTTACAACTCTCGCTAGTGACCCGTTCAAACAACTCAGTAATCTAGAGAGCACAGGTGACAGGTGGCTCAAGGTCGGTAAGCAAACAGGACGTGGGTTTCATTTATTCACTAAGTGCTTAAGGGTTAGATTTCACATATTATTGGTAACAAACAGTGAGGTGACGTTTTTTCAGTCGTGGGTAGAAACTATTGCTGTGACCACTTTGTTACCTGTTCCTGCTTCTTTACCCATAGCATAGGCGTGAAAGCGTTAGTACTTCTCTCAATAAGAGTTACCCACCTCTCGGTGATCACAACTTCTGGTGAATCTGGGCGGAATCGATCTCTTAACCGTGCAAGGAGTGTAAACGGGCAATCCCAATCATATATCCGTCTCTACCTAACTCTGTGGGAAGCCAACAGACTGTCAGATGTCGCTTAGGGAAACTTTTAAAGAAATATCACCTTATGAACAGCAAGGTCCTACTCACGCAGTTCACTTGGAGTTCCTACAGCTATTTAGGAGTTACCGTATCCATCCTACTACTTTTTTCCCTTGTGAAAGGTCGAAACGTCTGGAACATCACTGTGTGTTTTTATGTTAACTAGTTACTTAGTTATTTCATGGAAACGCTATTGAGTTGCTTACGCATAGAATGGTAACGAAGTCGACTAATGAGCGATTGAAAGTTTTACGTGCGATTTGACGTACTTAGTGAATTAGTCCCTAATTGAGGAGTGTAAAGTTTAATTTTTTTCGTCGACTGGTATTTAAAAAGTAGTAAAAGCGGCTAATAACGCATATAAGCCATATTAATGAGCTAAGGGGTCGTAATAGTTTCTACGTACGTAGCTCCGTTTGAATGAATCATGACTACGGAAAATTGGAAAATGCACGAAATTGAAATTTTTTCTGGAAATTTTGAATGCGCATCTAGTCTGTTCTGTCACTCAGGAGGGTAGTTTGGTATCCAAGAGAATGTTTAACTATGGAAGAAGTCAGTCATCGATCAATCAGTCTTGGAACGATGAAAAATTGGAGTAATCGGGCTGGTTCAGGTCCACAGAAGCGAAGGAAGTTCGGAAGCCTGCCTCCTGTCTCCTGCCTCTTGCGCAGCGTCGAGCCACCTTCTCTGCAGGTCTTCTTTTGTTCTTGCTAGGACCTCAGCTTGCTTTTCAAAAATCAATTTTCTTTTTTTTATCCGAAATTCGACCAAAAGAAAAGCGAGGTGACATTTGAGGGTAATGAACCTGTCGGGGTACGCCATGCACAACTGTTTCACCCTAGATTGTGCGTGCGATTGATTTGTAGGAGTGCCCTTGAAATTGATCATGAAAGAATGTGAATGTTGAAGAATATAGTTTACAAAGTAGTAGAAATGCACTATAAAATCCAAATCGTTAAGAGTAAATCTCAAACAGTATGTTTTAAGGTCTTTCAATCACGCCCATTGAATCATCTCGAAAATCTTTCACGAATATGAGTTCCTGGCTTAGAGGAGCAGGAGCCCAGGAAGGTAAGAATTACCCAAATCGTAATTAAAGTGCAATCATAGGGCTTCTTCGAAGTGCGGTCTAGTCAGTGAAGTATCCACTAGACCCGCAGAACGCAGTGTAATATTTGTTTAAAGCCGGCGACTAGTTTGCGCCACTCCACGTCTTCTGAGCCGCTCGAGCCAGATAGAGCTGGATATTGGCTGCAGAGTCGCCACACTTAGCTTTCGTACTGTCAATAACTGTTGCTTCTTTGTCGAAATTCATTCTGTCGATCCATCCCTTCTTTCACTCGTAAATCAAATTTTTATGTTGCGAAGGTTTCTTACGTCGTCTACTATCCTTTTTTGCTCGCTGAATTATTTGATACTACAGTGACTGTGGTTGGGGGAAAAATTGAGAGGTCTTTTGACCTGTGAGAAGCCGAATAAATTAACTCAGTATTATTATCGAAGTTTCTTTTCAATTTCTTTCGAATCAAGGAAGGTTTACCTGAGGGCGTCCTATCAAGAACGTAGTTTGAAGTGCTCTCAATGCAGAATGAAACCACGTGAACTAGTTTTCCTTTGACCCGTTATCCCGTCACCAACTCTCAGTACTTCTAACACGAATTCGGGTCTGCGCTCAGTTCACGAGCTAGGTGATCGCGAACCTCTGTTGCTCCAGCTGATCGCAGTTGACCTCTTCCCCGTTCCCATCCCCTTCTCCCCACTTTGTCAGATGTGCTAGTTCACGCAACCACGATGTGCAGAATTCAACAGTTTCGTTGTATCATTCGTGTATCTCGATCATTTCCCAGGATTGAAGAAAATGGTGGACATTAAATCCTTATCTTAGCAGGAACTAACTTATTTCATTACAATTTATTGGGGACTTGCACGAATCATCAGCAAGCACGTTGATTTGATGGCATTCAAATGAAAATAACTCGTTTATAAATATACAAATATGGGGTATTAGGGTGTGTGTTGTTATTGGGTATTGGTATTGATTAAACGAAAATGTAATTTAGTAGTTTACTGCGAGACAGTAAAAAATACATAATTACCGATGCTCACTACTTCCTGTAAATGCAGTGCAACCGCGTGCCCCTGGATGCTTTTGTGTTTCGTACCTAGATACTATTAAAAATGAAGTCTTGCCTCGGTAGCTAAGCTTGATCGATCACCGAAATCTCATGCGCGATCTTGAATCGATAAATTAAATACGTAGGGATACGAAAAAGCACGAAAACCCTCCCACCTTTGCTCACTTGCTCAAGACATTCCGATCAGTTCTGTTCGGTCCCTTGAGTTCTGGCTTTTGGTATAGCCCTATAGCCGTGCCTTACCGCGATTTTAAGCTCTGATTCCGAATATTTTGTGAATTCACCTGAAAATCTTCGAATGAATCCTTTTTTATTTTGTGAAACTGTGAATTTCAGGTCCGAATGACTAAGGACTCAGAACAAAATGGTCATAACTCAGACGACATATCTTCGATTCATGCGAGAATAGTTGTAAGTTTACAATGGAAGAGTTCTGAGAGTTTTCGGTCAGAGGGTATTCTGAATAGCGAAGCATAGGACCACTTGAAGATCCTTTTCATTTCCAATAACCCTCTTCTTTCGGAATTTGGCTCGAAAATTCTTCTTTTTGAATTTTTGATGTCAAATGAGCCATCACTGATGACTTCGCAATTTTTTCTCTTTTCTTTTCTTCTTTTTCTATTTTTCCACCCATGCTGCCTCCTTTGATTCTATTCCTTTGACAGATATTCGAGCATCCATTTGCCTACCAAGTCCTCAATCCAAAAACGGAACTTTTCTGCTCCTACTGTATGCGAGCTCCAGTCAAAGGCGAAAAATTGTTGAAATGTGCAGCGTAAGTAGCAATGAAAAGGTGTAAATTACTCCCATAACTTTATTAGAACACTATAGATGCGACTTCGTTCGGTACTGCAGTAAAGATTGTCAACGGCTTGCCTGGAAGGTTCACCGACCGGAGTGTCGGCGTCTGCAAGCTGTGGGTTGTTTTTACAGATATCTATATCTCAGTTGTCAAGTGTGAGCTTCTTGAACTCCCGATCTTTTCCAGGTATTCCCGAATCTCCCGCTCACTGAAGTCTTATTCCTCTCAAAAATTATCGACCGATTGATTTTCTTGGCTGAAAATGGAGATAAATATGGGTGGGAGCGTGAGCGAAAGTTTTGGTCGCTTGTAGACCACAAGGATGATATTCGGTAAGTTGGTAACTAAATGGGTTTTTCTAGATTACTTCAACGAAATTGAAGTATTCTTTCTCTTTCTTTGATTCTCGGGGGAACCAGCTGGACAAGTTAATCTTCTCTTCGGATGGGTATTGAACCGAAGCTACAAAAGTAATACAGGGTGGGCCAAAATTATGATTACAGTTCGCTGACGTTCATTGCAAATTTTTTCTATGTT